GAGAGCGATATATGATGCGATTGAACTTCGGCTCCGATCGCAAACTCGGCAATTGGACACAACAGGAGGACAAACTGATCCGAGAGTTGGCCCCGAAGTACGACTTCCATTGGGTGAAACTCGAGGAACACATCAAAGGCCGAAACGCCCGACAGATCGCCAGTCGTTACGAATTGCTCGTAAAGTACGGGAAGAGTACTAAAAAAGTGGCGAAGAGTGTGAAGAACCGAATGACCCGAACGCTGACCGTTAGGAACCAGTTGTACGAAAAGATACGGCAAATGATTAACCGTCAGAACAAAGAGACCGAGAATTTAGATAAGATATTGCGAATTGGAAGACAAAAGTTGGCCAAAAAGCTGGAAATGGAAAGACTCGGCATTTCGGTCAACAATAAGGGCCGACCGAAGAGGACTCAAGTCGAGGAGAATCTGGACGCGAAGATCGTCCGAATGTTTGCCTCCTATGATCACAAGTCGAGTCCCAAGAAGTCTATTTGTAATGAAGTTTTTAAAAATTGTTTTATACTTTTGGTATTGATTTTAATGACATTTTTAACCACCGATTGATAGCGCGATCAAAACAGGACCACTGCGTGTACGACACCACCAAAAACGTGGTCAAAGAGCTGCTGACCGGCGAGGCGTTTGAGTCGCGCACAGAACTCGCGGAATCAATTCGCCTCCTAATGCACGAAATGGTCACAAGACATGCGGTCCCGAAGTCAGAGACCAGCGATGAGGTCGTGACCGAAACTGTGATCGCAACCGATATGACCGACGAGTTGACGGCCGCCACCACTAGTCAAGAATCGGTGTCCGCCAGCACTAGTCAACCGGCGGTACAGACCGGCCATCAATGGAAGGGACCGCCAATACTGCCGCCCAATCGCACAACAGTTAAAGGTCTTCGCGGTCTTCTCATTCATTCCGATTACTTCTCCAAAACTATCGCAAAATCACAGGTTTTTAATTAAAATCAATTGATTTTATGGTTGTTTTAAATTCAATGATTTAAAAATGCAATCATTTTTATCCAAAGATTCCTTTGGAAAAGTTTAGGGAATCGTTGGAAGGAAGCGATGAGTACCGCAAACTCTTCGCACAATTCAAGTCACTGTTCGCGTGGCCGGCGTTGTTGTCCACTATAGAGCCGCCCGAACGCACTGAACAGTCGGCCGAAGAAGCGGTCACTTTGGAGGACCAACCGGTGATGAGGGGACGGCACAGGAAGTCGTGGCTAAAGACCGACTCTTCGCGTATGATTGAGATCCGAACGAATCAAACGAAACTCATTGAGTCTGAGATGAAGAGAATCGCCGAACAGAAGGCCACCGAAGAGACGGCGCCCGCAGTGGAGGAGCCGATGAACGAGACATCGGTGTCGAGTCCGTGGTATGTGACCAAAAGGGACCGCAAGAACTATCACATGAAGTCGTTGGACAAGTCGTCGTTCGTCTTCACCCGTATTCGTCCCAAACGCGAGACTAACAAAAAATAGTATCACTTCTCATATCATTCTCTTATTTTTGTTTGTTTTTTAAATACAATTGATTTTCTTGTGATAAAACTTATTATTAATTGAAGTGATTATTAATTCAATTGTTTTCAGATAAAATGTATGCAATTTTGATCTCATTTATAGTACAATCATTTCATTCACTTTTTTAAATTTCAAGTTTAATATTAATGTTTAATTTCTGACAATTACCTAATGATTAATAACTATTGATTAGTATTTTGAGTACTGTTTCTAATAAATTATAATTCA